ATCAACAACTTGATGCAGGCAGCTACATCTAAGCTGTCTGTCATATCCAGCACAGTGGCAGCTCAGCCTCAGTTGCCCACTTTAGTGGAGGAATCTATAAAGGAACTTTTGGACAACCAGAAGAAGCTCCTGGACAACCAGAAGATCATCATGGATGCTTTGGAGTCACAGGGAAAGGCAATCATGGACCTGAGCAAGCACAAAGAAAATGAAGAAAACTCGGGCTTCCAAGGATTCGGTAAAGCTGCTGAGGAAGGAGGTGAAAAAGATTAGATCAGCTGGAGACATCCCATTGGAGCTACTATTGGAGGACCCAGTTCTAGTAGCTCAGGCAGCACAAGCACCGGAGCAGGAGGCTGATAGAGAGCCTATGAGGAGAGGGGTAATCCCCCATACTGATGATTTGGAGATTAAGCTGGAGGACCCCGAGGGAGGTGCCTCAGGCTAGCCACAGGACCCTTAGGGAGCTGACCCCACTGATGTGCAGGATCCGATGCATACCACATAGGGAGTTTTTTTTACTCTTTAACCCCTCTTTGATATTATTTTTGCTTTTAGCATTGAGGACAATGCTAGTTTTTATTTGGGGGGTGGTCCTATTATGAATTGATGACTGGAATGTAATTAATGATAATTATTTTTCTTTATCGTTATTTTTCACTTTTGGTATGTATATAACTTTACTATTTATTTTTACTTTAGTTATTTTTCACTTTTGGTATGTATATAACTCTACCATTCCATGTATATATTCATTCCCTTTTTATGTATATTCGTCTCAATCCCCTATTGTACATATTCAGTTTACTTTCCGTATTTTACTTTATAACTTCTTTTGTAATTTTTCTTAATAGCATAGATTTTTATTTCATTTAGCAGCTTCTTTTTCAATTTGTAGCTTCTTACTTTTATAAGTTTCGTGATCAATAAGTCTTTGATTTTTTCAATGTCATGGTTCTTTCTAAAGGTAAAATTTGTGTGAACTGGGTGGCTCCTCCCGATGATGGATGGCATGACAACCTTCTTAAGGGTTTGAGTCCGTTTTCTTTATGTTTTTGTGTTAATAGTAGTAATAAATAAAAATGTCTCAGGCAAAGCTTCACTTGGGCCTAACACATTTACCTTTGACCCTATGGTTAGAAACAAGTTGATTTGGAAAAAATGGTGCTAGTTTTGACCTTTAGACTCTTGTGTGGATTAAACAATCATCGAGTGGTTTTTTGAGACCATTGGTATTGCTCAATCTTAGCTAAGGTTGTTGTGGGCCCTCGACTATGTTCTCTTTAGAAATTAAATAGCTTGTATGGTGAGGTTTGGATTTGCAAGTCCAAGTCCCATGCCAATAAGTCTAGAACTTGCCCTGAATATTTGTCTAGAGGAAATTCTAAGCGTAGCTCGACTTGAGAAATGATTATAGGCTCTCCTTAATTTAAACTGAAACTTAAAAGCTTACATAGCCCACCAAATATGATATCCCTAGTCAACCTCGTTGAGCCATAGCCCTTGTTCTTTCAATAACCATGATACAAGCCTTTATCCGTTCTAAAATGATCCTCTCTTGGCACCCGATCTTTCCTTAGCACAATTGGCAAAAGCATAAGTTTGGGGGGAGAGACGAGGAATGCAAAAGTGATAAAAGGTACAAAATGAAGAAAAGGGAAGGCAAAAAGAAAAAGAAAGAAAAGTCAAAAAGAAAGTGAGCAATATATAAAAATAAAGGAATTCAATAAAAGCAATGATGAAAGGCTTGGAATGATTAGAAAGGAGAAAAAAAATGATTCTCATGAACAAGAAAGAGTGGCAGTGTGTCTCTCTAGTCCCCTAAGGAAGAGAAAAATGACTCAAAGAGTCAAGAAAGTGTTAGCCGAAATGAGAAAATTAAGTGCTTAAGGAAAGATGAAACCTTCATAGACTGATATATCCTACCTTGAACCAAAAGCCTTAGTTACATTCCCCCAAAAGTTCTATATGATCTCAAGTTGAGTGAGCTTATATTAGTGGTGATTCACATGAAGGGCAAGCTTATGGTACTTAGAGCCGGACTTGTGACCTTCCTTTGAGAGAGATGAGTGTATTTTTTCACAATCCTTGTTCTGAGTGTTATAATCTAAAGTGAGATTTGCTTATGGAGAGTAGAGGAGAAAGAGTTTGGGTTCCACAGTGACCTACGTAGTAGAGCGAGTTTCCTTGATGAGTTAAGTCAACTCTCGATGCTCTTGTGTCGCACTAGAGCCATGGTACTAAAAAGGTTGTGTGTTGTTGATAATACATTTGTGTTAAGGGTAATTGTTAGTCCCAATTGATGCTTGCTGAAGTCACCTTAGAACAGCTGAAATTCTTCTTTCTTTTACCTTGTGGAGGTTAGAATTACTTTGTTTGCTTGAGGACAAGCAAAAACTTAAGTTTATGGGAGTTGATAATTACAGATTCTAGCCTATCTTATACTCTATTTTGCTTAGGTTTTGGATAAAAAATATGTAATAGTATTCCCGAAAACTAACTTATTGTGCTTGTTTGCAGGGTTTGGTCAAAAGGAAGCAAGAAAGTCATAACCAACTCATAAAGGAGTTAAATTTGCACAAGTTAAAAGCTGAGCTAAGAGCGTTGACAGCGATGAAATAGTACGGCCGCGGAAGGTTCACCGCTGAGGAGGCCACAATTACATTGCCAACGGAAGTGATATTCACAGAAGGTACTTATGGGTACAACAGATACCGCTGACCGCGGTGAAATAGAGTGGCAGCGGAATACTTGATGCGGTCGCGGTCCAAATTCTGTTGAGGACGAAATTGAGAATCAGAGGACTGGAAATTTAAGCTCAAATGAATAGCGCGGTCCGCGAACATATTACGTGGCCGCGGTTGAAGACACTGCTGAGGCGGTTGCTTTTACGCTCCTAGCGGAATCAAGTTTAGACCAAGCTCAGAAGAGAAGAAATACGGTCCGCACATGCTTTTGCGCGTCCGCGGAAGTCCAAGCACTGAGGCGCTCAGTATTGCATTGATAGCGGAACCTCCGTAGGGGTATTTTTGTCTAGTAATTTCAGCTGTGTATAAATATATCTTTTTCAGTTTTTTAGATCATCTTTTGTACTGAGGAGCTTGTGAACAGCCATATTTTACTACTTAGAGTAATTTTAGAGCAACTTTAGCTATTAATCTTAGATTTTCTTCTTGTAATTAACTTTTATGGCTTATATTTCATCTCCATCTTTGATTTCTACCTTTATTATGAGTAGCTAAACTCATTAGTTAGGGTTGTGACCCAACCTAGTGTGGCTATTTAATGGGTCTTCTATTTTAGGGCTTAATTATTTATAGGTTAGTGATATTTAACTTGTGTTATGCTTTAATTGTAGAATTGGTGGTTGCAAATACTGATTCATGCCTTTATGACTTAGACTCTTCTTGAGAAAGAGGGACTAAGTCTAGAAAATTCTGGCTAACAAGGAATTGGGGTGAATTCAAGAGATTTGGTAGCCCCAATTAAAGGGTTAAACCTAGAGATAGTAATACTTGACTTGAGCCAATTTTACTTGTATTGTTTGAAGACCCAATTGAGCTTGAGAAAGCCAATTAGGGCAAAGTCACTCAAACTACCGAAAGGTATAAAGTGAGTAATTGTGTGTAATGGTTATATCACGACCTCAATTATAACAAGCTTGTCCTAAATTTTAGATCCCATTAGATACTCGCCTAGGTGTAAGTCACTTTCCTAGTGCTTTTTATCACGTGAGAAAACTCTTACAAAAATACTGTACTTAGCTTATTTTCAGTAATCCTTAGCATTAAAATTAGAATAGAAACAACATCAAACATGGTTAGAAGTGCAATTAAAATCAACACACGTAGCTAGATTAGATAGAAACCCAATTTCCAACCAATATTAACTCCCTGTGGAAATCGATCCCGACCCTTCGGGTAAAAGTTGCATCGACCACTCTTGCCATTCTATAGTGGTATAGGGTTGGAGCCGATCAATGTATCAAAGCTACTGCTACAAACACGGATAACGCGACGACCTAACCCTTTATCTTTATTCTCGACATCCACACCTTCCTATCCATGATCATGTACTCAGTAAGCTGGAGCAACGCCATATCTCGCCAAATACAAACTTATATTTTTTTTTAAAAAAAAAATTTAATTAAGATCGGTCTTCCCGTACTTCCCATACGAATATTTCACAATATTGTACCAAGACTTTCGACGAAAAAGTGACTGCTATTTATATGTTCGTTCATTAAATTAATTTCATATTATGACCATTGAACTCTAAACTTTATGTACTGTAATAGTAAAATCACAAAATAACTTTTTGTTATATTAAAATAACAGATCTATGTGTGAGTTGCTCAAAAAGTACAAATGACTTAGGTCAAATTTGCAACGTTAAATTATGACACGTCAGTTATCATGTCAGCACTCTGTCACAGATTTATAAATTTACATCGTAAAATTAAAAAAATCTCACCTTGTAAATTTTTTGAGTATCGATATTTTAAAACAAAAGATAATTAAAAATCCATTTAAATAAACAATAAAAAGAGAGAGAAAAAACAATAATAGTACAAAAGAAGGGATCGAGTATGTGAGAATGCTTTAGAATTGAACGACTTCTATAAAAGAATATCCTAGAATTTGATAAATATAACATTCTTCCCATAATACAAATTTTCTACGATATATATAGGTACTATTAAAACTTTTATAGTAATCAAGGATTATGATAAAGTGGGAGGTACTCTTTTATTTTTAGTTGCTTCAATATAATTACAGAACACCAGGTGAAAAATAAAAATAAAAACAAATACACTTACAAAGCCAAACAAATTAAAAAACAGTCTTAAATTCTTTTTTCTTTTTTTTAAATAAAAAAAAAACGTCTTATCGGTTAGTCCAATGAAGCTTTTGTCTTTTTTCTCCAACATAAAAGGCCAAACTTAAACCTTAAATCTATTACCTTTATCTTGTTCTTGTTTTCCCCAATTCACTTTATGTTCTCAGTATATGCCACTAGACAGATATTACCTAGATATAAAATGTGTCCCCTCTCCAATGCTTCTATTTTTCTACATATAAAAATCTAACTATGGATTCAGACACTAAACATTCTTGTAAGAACTTTTTCACTATCTTGAGATTTAGAATTTGCTTTTTGTCATAATAAAAAATGGAAAATTCTCAGAGTTATGGCAGAAGAATTGGCATCTGCTTATTTTTGGGCATGTTCTTATTGCTATCTGGTGTCAGTGCAGAAGGTATATTTTCAGAAAGAAAAAAAAAAGTTGTTTAGAAAAATAATTCAAGGTTTAATATGTGTATATTCATTCATCAGATAGGCAACATCCCACCAAAAATGTGAATTTGGCCCCATTTATGCAGTGGAGAAGTGCTTATTTCTGCTTGCAAATTGTAAGTAGCTTCACTCTGTTTCAATAGTCTTCTAGTCGGTCTATTTATCTAGTTTAAGTTTTATGTATTGATAGGTGTAAAAAAAATATTTATAAAATCAAATCCAAGATATAAACTTAATAGATTCAACTTTTTTTAATTCTTTGTACGTTTGAAATTATGAGTTTAGCATTTGATATCTATTAATTTTTTTGGCTAAAATATTTATTAATAATTAAGTAGTTTTTCACATGTACACATGTACAATTATAACAATAAAGTCACAAACTATTTTGTCGCGTAAAGTAACTCAACTATGCCTACTATAATAGTAAAGTCGTTATAAATTTTTACACATTGTAACACTAAAGTCAGCTTGATGGTAATTGGTAGGTTGATGTTTAAAAAATAAAATTGTGACTTTACAGTTATGGTGATCAAAGTTCAATGATCAACAACAACAACGACGACGACCCAGTATAATCTCACAAGTGGGGTCTGGGGAGGGTAATATGTACGCAGACCTTACCCCTACCCCGAAGGGTAGAGAGGCTGTTTCCAGGAGACCCTCGGCTCAAAAAAAGCAACAGGAGCCGATATATTAGTACCATAAAAATGCATAATAAAATAACAGCAATATAAGAGATATGAAATACAGAATACGAAATACGAAATAAATGGTTGGTATAGTAAAAACTAGCAGGTAAAGCCCTGCATCAATAGACGACCAATGATTAGTCTAACTCCTAACTGGCTAGTCTCACTCTATTGTGCTGTAGAAATATTCACAACTTTCCCCTAACCTACAACCTTAATGTTTGACCTCCATAATTCCCTGTCAAGGGCCATGTCCTCAGTAATCCTAAGTCGCGCCTTGTCATGTCTGATTTCCTCTCCCCAATACTTCTTAGGTTGCCCTCTACCTCTCCGCGTGCCCACTACAGCCAGTCGCTCACATCTCCTCACCGGTGCATCAGTGCTCCTCCTCTGAATGTGCCCGAACCATCTGAGTCTTACTTCCCGCATCTTGTCCTCCATGGGGGCCACGTTCACCTCCTCTCGATGATCATACGTAAAATTTACCTTTTCTTCGTCTTGCTTGGAACAAAAAAAAAACAATCCGGTACACAAAGCATCTCGCGTTTACGCAGGGTTCAGGAAAAAACCGCATTCCAAAGGATGTGATATAGGCAGTCTACTATAATGCAAGCATTAGTGGCTGCTTTCACGGCTCGACATACATCTGTTTTGCTTGAATTTCGTGTAAAATCATTCATGTGTTTTTGTGCTGCAACGCAGACATCTCCAGTTTGTTCAAAGGATCACACACTCACATTATCTGGATGGCTAAATGTGACAAATGAAGAAGGAAAAAAATTCTGTGAAAAAGGAGGGTGCGCAGAACATACAAAAGTTGTACTCGACTGCATTCATCATGTCAAACGTGATTTTTGGTTTGCAAATAAAGCTACTGTTCAACATATCTATGACACCATTGACATTGGTTGCTACACCCCACAAGGTTTTTCTTTCTTATTTTTCGAGTTTTAACTTCCATGCACTGAAGGTATAAAGGAACTTTTACGCTATTTGTTAGGAAAAATCAGCCGAAAGATACTTTTAATATGGTGTAATATTGTCCACTTTAAAGCCAAAATCCTTACAACTTATAAGCAGACTCCCAATCTTTTATGCTACCAATGTGGGACTTTGTTCCCGCACCCAATACTATTATTACACTACTTATAAGAGAACTGCCTATTATAGACGATACTAGTTACATAGAAAATAAAATAGAGTAACTAATCTGTTATAACTAGTTAAATTATGCTAATAATCTTAAAAAGTTACTTAGCCGAGGGTTTTTGGAAATATCCTCTCTGCTCTTCCAAGATAAGGGTAAGACTTCGTACATCTTACCCTCCCCATGCCCTACTTGTGAAAATTATTTGTTATTGTTATTGTTGTCATCTGAGAAAATTATTTATGCTATCAGTGTATATAAGTATTTCTTTTTGATTTATATGTTGAACTTGTATGCATATAAAGTGTAAAATTTTATATTACTAGGTCACTTAGTTAAAAGATACTAACCAGTAACTACTCATAGTAAGTGGAACTAGTTGTAAGGAAAATAAGGCAAATTACAACATACTAAATTACGTTGATAGTAGAGGTGTGGCAAAATGGTTAAAAGAAAACAGTTATTCACTCATATTATCCATTAAAAATGGGTTGGATAATGATTTTTTTAAGAACGGGTCGAATATGGATAAGAACCCATACTATTCACTTAGAAAATGGTGAACCAAATGGATAATCAATGGATAACTAATGTGTTTAACATTTACATTTGTAAAGCCTCAAATTGGGGTTCCTCAAGTTTGGGAAATTAGAAATTCTCCCATAAGTAATCAAGAAGCCATAGATAATATGGATATCCATATTATCCGCCGGATAACCCATTTTTTATCCGTCTCAAATATGGATCGGGTCAGATAATTTATCCTTTTTTGAAATTATCAGTTTTCAACCCGCTCATATCCGACTCGACCCGCCCATTTGTCATCCCTAGTTGGTAGTGTGATATTTACATTGTCAGATTAAATCCTTTTTTGACTTCCCTTGTATTCCTATTATATTCTCTATGAATCCATGATTTGGTTAATGTCAATTGCAGGTTTTAATGGAACAAGCTTGTACCCCCACTAAGGGTTGAAATCAGCCTCAGGTTCTGCACTCTACAGAATCCTTTTTGCTTTGGTGTGTGATGTTTTGTTGGAGACCTAAAAGATTGTGTACCTAATAGAAATAAAAGGCAACAAATATGTATAGTCATCACCATTATGTACTTTTTTTCCTTTGGGAAACAATTTGCACTGGCTTTTGGTTTGTTAGTGAAAGCTACAAATAATGCAATAATGTAGGATGCTATAATCATACTTTGCCTTCTATTATTTTGTCTACTTATGATAATAAAGGTGTCTTCGTTGTACAGGCATTCATATTTAAGTTTCATCCCAAAAATACTAGATTTAGCTGTCCCATGGAACCCAATATTGGATAGGATTTTCTCTCAGCTCCTTTAGATTTTCTCAAAAGCTTTTCTTTTCTTTCAAAGCCATGCCTAGTGTTGATAATATCTTTCATATGGTATGTAGAATTTGAAGGGAACCTTAAAGCGACATTAAAGTTGTCTATGTGTGACCTATAAGTTATGGGTTCGAGCTGTAAAAGCATCCACTAATTAATGCTTGCATTAGGTAGACTGTCTACATCACACACCTTGGGTGTGGCCTTTTCCCGGAACATGTGTCTTTGTGCACCCGACTATCTTTTTTAGTGTATACGTATAGTTTAACAACACATTATCACTTGTACCAACTTAGTCTATAATTAGCGAGAGCTTATATTGTTAACATCTACATAGCAGACATGACATCAAAAGTTGATGCGCAAAGCAATCAGCCTAAATTATTTAAAGAATGAACCTAACCGTGTTTCATGGAATTTACGAAACAGCTCCATGGAACTATTCATTGTCCAACACCGACGGTCGACAGACTTGACATACCATTATTCTAATTCCTTTTAATAGCCATGATGTTTGGATCAGCTTTCGAACACCTTGACTAATTCCCCCGAAATACCTGAGGCACCATACCATTATTCTAATTGCATTCACAAAAATACTTAGGTCTATCAAAATCCCAATTACCCACCATAAACATCTTAAAATGTACTGAAATTAAGTCATATGCTAACACATCAGGGGACTCTATTTAGTGTATTTGTTTTGACAGCAAATTCCTTTTCACTACACTACTATTTGTTATCACTGCCTCTTTTTTCAACAGTTTATACGAGGGTTGGTTGCTCATTGCTCCTTCAACTGACCATTATTTTGGCTATTCATCTCGATTACAACACTTTTTTCCCTGTTCATGCGCCTAGGCCCGTGGCATTGGCAGATAGCAAGCCAGCAAACGTAACTACTAAGCCTATAATTTTGGGTTTGGAAGGGAAGCATGCCTAAACACTTTATAATCCAATAAACAACTAAAGCGTTACGGTAAAAACAAAACTTCAGCATCTGCCATTCAGTAACAATTAAGTACATTTTTCCTACGTTTTGGTAAACGGTCTCATGTATCTGAACCTTCCAAAACTGAAGAAACAATACAATCAAAAATGGCACAGTAGGATAAAGTTCGAGAGCTCATCATACATTTATATCTGTGCTACCACGCTATTCTACCTACCATATAGACTCTTGAACCATTTCTGTCGTATTTTAGACAGACCTAATACCATTTACTAGTACAATTCTTCGCCATACTCCTAACAACTTGTAATATTACGGTAATCAGTATACCTCCGTTTTCATTTTTAATATTTTGGTGTTAGAAAAGAGTCGAGGTCTATAATTGTGAATCAATGCAAACTTTGAACACAGAACCAAACATGCCAGGCAAATTGGAAAAACTAGAGAAAGGCTTAGGTAAACTGGCAAACAAAGTAAAATTACATTGAAGTGTCTCCCTTACTAATAGATATTCACAAATTGAAAAGACATGTCCCTTGACAACCCACTTTAAGGGAGATTAAGAAGTAAACTAAGTTCTTTAGCCGAGTTTATTCATTCACCACAAGCACAATAAGACATTGCTGTCACAAAGTCTCAGACATGCCTGGTGACACCTTTGCCATTATCCCATAGCATATTTCTGAGTCCAGCTACGAGCAGTGGTCTCGTATTTGGACCTGTCGGTCTTGTACATGTGAGCAATTTCTGGTACAAGCGGATCATCTGGATTTGGGTCAGTCAATAGGGAGCAGATGGAGAGCAGGACCTGTAAGCATATCACCAGTTTGGTCACACCTTCACACCC